TGTCCTGACATTGGATTGTGGGTTCCTTCCCACCAGATGTTGCAATGCCAAAATCCAGATATGTCACTGGAAGTGTTGAACGAAAGATCAGACTGTGATCCAATTTGAGAACCTGCTTAGAATGCATGGAGATGCTGAGAAAATATGTTAATTCAGGCTCAGACTCCATTATCCGACAGGCCGAACTGGCATTTTACTTCACTGAGTCCACTATTTCATGTTCAGGGAACCTTGGGAAGGGGATATGCTCCATTAGGAATCCAAGGGGAAGCAGTTTTATTGCTGACTCTCACAATTTTATTGCATGCAGGTCTTGCAATATTTGGTGTTTTTTCTTAAAGCTCCAGCTGCAGCAATCATGTAATTATGTCAGGATCTCAGCTTTCATTTTAAAAAAAACTAAGTTTCTAGTCCTCCCGGTTGCAGAGAAAAGCTGAAAAATGGAACCCTAAAGGCTCAAAAACCAAAAGGCAAATAAGACTCAAAATGTATTTTTTTAAAAAATCTTACGGTTCTTAAACTAATCTTGTCCTTTTGGGGTCTGACTCATGATATTTGAGTGTCTGGGGTTGCAAATACTGCTGTCATCTGACTCTTGATATTCTGAGGGGAATAGGCTTACTGCTCATCATCAAAAATATCAGACAAGAGGACAGAAGGTCACCAGGACTCCCTAAAAACGATGAAAACTAGCCAAGGTCTGTTGGACTGAAAAATAGAAGATCATGGGGCCTGCTTATAGCCTCCATACGGTCAAATAAATACCCAGTTTTTTAGATTATTTTTTTAACTAGTCCTGAACTTTTTTAAACCTTTTGAGTTTTCCCTGCACTGCGCCTGATTTTCATTTACATTAAAACCCCTTCACACCATTCTGATAATGTAAAAAGAGACTTTAAAATAATTGGCAGTGTAAAGCAGCCTTAACTGTAAAGTTGTGGTGTACATGGGGTTGTGTGTGCTCTTGCACTTTTTGCAAAGTTGTGTTATGTAAAAGCATCACATGTGATGACTATCACAACTTCTGCATCTATGGGACAGGGAATGTAAGATCTAATGGGGTTCTTCCTATGATAGGAGACATGATCTTTAAGAACTACCTGAAAATTGTATGAGTTTTGAGGTCCTGGTTATTACAATATCCAAGTACAAACTGAAAATACACAAAAATGGATAAACAAAAATGCATAAACACTCCAGCTGTTAGATTTGTGGAAAATTTTCATTTGAGGGTAGCTATGTTTTGGACAAGTTGAGTATGTTTTACTTTCCTCCAGGTCTACTGTCTCAATACATTATTGTACAAAACAGATTGTACTGCAGATCACTTACGGGTGGATTCTGGTGAAATTTTTCACATCTAAGGGTGCAATGTTATGACCATAAAGGAGACACTTGCTTTTCAGAAGTGAGGCGCACCTGCAGCTCATGTTGACATCACTGGGATTGTCATGGTTAAAAGGTTATCTATATCTTTCTCTGTATAATTCATAACACCTCTCAGGTGTCAGGTGTTACTTGTTCATGCCTTTACTTCTTATGGGGTGGAATCCCATGATTATCCCACTTTCAGATGTGCCTTGGGTTACAGAACCCTGTGTCAATTGTGCTTATGCAGCTGGTCCAAATGAGTTCAGACGTGGCAGTTCTTCCTTTTGGGAGTCTGTGATCGGTAGTGTATACAGTGACCAGACAGCCTTCATAAAACCAAACGAATGTTTGTTTTAACAGTAGGAACAAGCCATTTAGAGAAAAAGGGTTTTAAAACAATAATCTACAGTAGACTCATGTCTATCTTACCTATAGGCCCTAGGCAGGCTTAACTTCTTCAGATGCCCCAGCAGGTGTCTGGGCCTCATCCTGGTTCCTCTGAACAACTCCCCCACCCTCATTCAACCAAAAGGGGTTTTCCTTTAAAACTGCAATACACATTTCATTCTCCAGTGTGCCTGGGCCTGTTCCCCTCCCTGCCTTGTCTTGTAAAAACCCTCAAGTATTTGCAGAGAAATGGCTTATCTTGAGCCATTGCAGCTTGGTTTTCCCCCATTAAACTAACTACAAACACTCAAATAGTAAATAGTAAACTACGAACACTCAAATCCCTATAACCAGGTCAACACATTCTATTCATACATTTTTACAGAGCAGCTCTAATTACGTCACATCGACACTCCTGAAAATCAGATTGCATATTGACATGAGTAAACTAAAATTAAATGTTTAAATTCAGGCACCAAAGTTTGAGCATTTTGGCCTAAGGGTAAAATTTTAAAATAAGTGTCTGAGGCATTTAGGAGCCAAAGTCCCATTTGACTTTCAATTAATCTTAGGCTCCTAAGTCCTTTTTGAAAACAGGACTTAGGTACCAAAGTCACTTAAGGTAAAATTTTCAAAAGCACTTAAGTCTCTTCTGTTTCTGTCTGCAGCATTGTAAAATCGATGTCATCATACTTAAAGAATATAAAGGAAGATAAATTTTCTCTTCCCTAATGCCTTTGCTGTCAGTTAAGAAAGACTGAGTTGCTGTATTGCATTGGTCATAGGTGTGTACTCTGTCTGAGTCAGCATATGTAGTGTATTGTACATTATGCTCCATGCAATAGGTTCAGAGGATGGAAATAAACAACTGGATTGAGGCTTCAGAAAAAAAGAAAGGAAAACAGATGTGTGAAAGCAAAATATATCTCTCAGCAGCCATAGACTCCTCCCAGAAACTGTCCTCACACCACCCAGATTTAAGGAACGGCTCTACTCATGAGAGCAATAGCAACACAGTTAAACGATGGTTCAATTTCATGCCTCATTTCAGACATCATTAAAAATACTCTGTTTCACCTCATCCTCATTAAAATCCCCAGATAAGAGACAGGATCCTTGATTAATGTGAGCTTCAGGAAAAGGAAAGAAGGGAACTTCATAAATCATTTTTCCGTTTTTTTTCTCATCTCCTCCTCCCCACATTGTCTCCTTTTCTCCCTTCCTCTTGATTACCCCTCTTGTTGTTGGAGAGGGCATAGCATAACTCCTATATCCGTGGCAAACATCAACTCAATCATGCAAAGCAGAGGCAGATTAAGGCTTATTGGGGCCCTGGGCACAAAAAAATATTGCACCCCCCCCCCGGGGCTCAAGGGTGCCAGAACTGGGGTGGGGGGGCAGGAGGGCCATGTCCGCCCACTTTTTTCTATGGGTGTAGTAGCCTCGGGCAGGCGCAGAGCAGTGAAAGCAGGGACTGCACTTCATGGAGGAGTAATCATCTCTCCTGCTGCAAAGCACAGCCCCTGCTCAGCCTCTTCCTGGTGGGCGGCTCAGGTGGGCCTTAGACCCCCTCACCATGCCCCTCCCCCTGCTCCTCCTCTTCCCTGCAAGGCCCCATCCCCTGGCCAGGCTGGATGTCAGAGCTGGGCCATGGTAAGGGTCACCCAGGGAGTCCTGGCCACTGTGGGGAGCCCTGGACCCTCCACCTGCCTTCCCCTTCTACACAGGTTCTGGCTCTCCTGCGGGAGCCCCCGGGCCTGGGCCCCATGGGCTCATGTGTTAATCCATCACTGGATTAAGTCACCCATTGTTGTCTTCACTTGGGATTAGTGCTCTGAGCAAAATCTCTACAGTGCCAGCTAAACTCTTTGGTTTTATTCCTACTCACTCTGATTGTTTGGGGGAAGAAAAAAACATCTAGAATAAAATATTAAATGTGGTTGACTTCGTTCTCACAGCTGGAAGAAGGAAACATTAATACTCTGTTTTTCATTATGAGTGGCTTCTGATATTCTTCTTCAATATGGGCATGTGGAGTGCGGTGGGGGTAGGGATGAAGTCTGTGCATGAAACCCTGGTTCTATTTAAATCAGTGGTAAAACTATTGACTTTGATGGGGCCTAGATTTCACCATGTGGGCATTAGTGATGGGATAAAAGCAGGACCCCATTTTTCCACTGCCCAAAACTTATAAACTGGATGACTGTTCACATAAAATAGGACCCAGATCCAAACCACCCCTGGTTTTAGGGATATAGGAATTGCCACACTGTGTCAAATTACTCGTCCATAAATTCCAGTATTCTGTCTCCAACAGCAGCTAGCATTACATGGGGGAAGTGTAAAATCCCTGTAATAGACAATTCTGCAATAACATGACTCCAGTAACATAGAGGAAGACTGCAAATCCAAAACTTGACCAGCACAAGATTTTGTTCATAAAAAGCCTTCCTAGGTTTGCCCATCATTAGGGGATGTCAATTTCAGGTATCCACTGGATTCAACATTTCTCCCACTAAACCAGCTTTGTTAGTGCCATTGGCTTGATCAGCAAAACGGTAGAAGCAAAGAGTTAGAACTCGCATATTTGTGGAAAGGAAGTGAAGGCTGGCATGGTTGTCCTATAGTGCCCCTTGCTGGTAAAGAATGGCACAGCTGGCACTCCAGGCCTCAGTTTCCCTCCCCAAAGTTAGTCTCCTCAACTTTCCAGATAGTGGTCTGTGCTGAAGATGTGGCTTAGCCCTCCGGCCAAATAACAACAAACATAAGCCTCTAGGGTAGCAAAAGTCCAAAACAAACAAAAAGGTTCTTCTGCCCTTTGGGGCTTCTCCTCAGCACACCTTCTGGGCCCTGTTTCCAGCCCCTTTCTGAGCTACCTTTGAGAGTCTCTTCCTCTCTCCTGGCCTAGAGTGCTGGCCTGCCCCAGGCTGGTTCCCTGGAGTAAGTACCCTTTCCTCTGCATACCCTGGCTCATGGGCCTTCCATGGGACCCAGCCAGCCTGTGATTCCAACTCTAAACTGATCTCACTCTTAATCCTTTTATAAGATCTAGGTATCCATTAATCTATCACCTGACCCTCTTTCAACCTACCCTCTCAGGCTGGAAAGGGGTTAATTCATTATGGAAAAGGTGTGGCTGGTCCCATTTCACCTTAAAGGGGCTAGTCATCCTATGACAGGAACTCATCACAAATTTGTCAGCATTCAGATGAAAAAAAGTAGAGCAATCCACCACCATTTACCTTTTAGTCCATATGCACTGCCAGTAGATCTGCGCAGAAAACTTGTACTTCAGAGAATAACAAAAACTTGGTACCAGATACCATCTACAGCATTGGCCATAATCATAAAACAAGGCATTGCTCAAAAGAATTGTATCCTTAGAGTTGTCAGAAACTGCCTTATTCTCCTCTTATCACCTCTACAAAATGGGATTTTTGGCTTCTCTTCCCTTCCATTTCAGTTCTATTTCTTATCTCCTTTCCCCTTCCCCTCCTCTCTCTCCCTAGCCCTTAATTAACTTTGTTCGCTTTCCCTTTAGCCTTGATTCTTTTCCCTACAATCTTGTTCTACCGCTTTTTAGACTTGCTCCATCCCTTTCTCTCTCCAGTGGCCACGTTCCACATGATAGATTGCTGTCTGCTTCAGGCCTTGTTTCTATGAAAGCAGTTGATAGTGCTGCAAACTGCTGTGCTGGCAGGTCACTTTGAAAGACCATTCATGTGTGCTGCAACTGCAGCCTCAGGGGGTCAATGGCTGTAACCCAGGTACCTAGATGAAATTCTTGCCTCTGTTATTTAAAGGTGGTGGAACTAATTTGTTGTTGACTGTACCTGCTATTTTCCAATGAACATTTTTTTAACATAGAGCTTTTAAATGTCAATTGAATTTTTAAGCATCTGGAAAAATCTTAATTTCAGGCGGTTACGTGGCAGCATAATCTTGAAGTGAATTTTAGATTTATTTATACAAAGTGAGAAGAAAAGAGCTAGGCAAGGCCTTTTCTAAAGGGCATTGTATCTGATATCAAAAACATAAGCTAACATTGATGATTTACATAAATGCTACAACATGTCATATAAATGAAAGTTAGCATTTCATATTTTAGGCTCAACCTCTTGGCTGTATCATGTGGAGATTTAAAGTAAGTCTTGCAAAAATTCCTCTGCTCAGCAGGCTCACTCTTAAGCTAACAGCTAATACAGTGCAAAGATCAAATGGGTTGATTCAGGGTTTTTTGTTTTTTTTTTTTTAAACCTTGCACACTGAGATAAGATCTACATAGGACCAAGCTGAATATTTTTCATGTTACATCTGTGGTTTACCAAAAGTGACACTATCACATAATTAGTGATGTAACCTTTGAAACATTTAGTATACATGTGGATCTAATCATGCCTAATAGAGTTGTTATGTATTTGTATAGACTGTAGCTTCTTGTCCTTAATGTCTTTTTTTGCATGGTTTATTGGAGTGAGGTTTATTATAATAATTTTGGGCAAAAGTACAAAATTGACTGAACATTTATAAAACTAGTACTTCTTGAATCCTGTTTGATCTTGCACTGATAGAAAGGTTGGAAAATAGGCATAATCTCTACATGCTCATTAAATAGCCTACATAACTCATGTGGTCCGCGTTCTCTCTTCCTATAAATGGCAAACTATGTTCCTTTTTTATCAGTTACATACATAATAATTAAATAGCTGGGTTAGAAAGGCCCTAAATACCAAAATAGAAAGTGAATTGGTAACTTTTGTCAATTTTCTTTGACATAAAGAAAAGGAGTACTTGTGGCACCTTAGAGACTAACCAATTTATTTGAGCATGAGCTTTCGTGAGCTACAGCTCACTTCATCGGCTGCATCCGATGAAGTGAGCTGTAGCTCACGAAAGCTCATGCTCAAATAAATTGGTTAGTCGCTCACGAAAGCTCATGCTCAAATAAATTGGTTAGTCTCTAAGGTGCCACAAGTCCTCCTTTTCTTTTTGCGAATACAGACTAACACGGCTGTTACTCTGAAACCTTTCTTTGACATGTTACTCTTGTGCCATATGTTTTCTGTAGCATATTCAAAAGTCCCTGGCTTTTTTTCTAGGCAGTATTAGAATATTCATTTGCAACTACTGTTCCCCACTCTGTGGCCACAGAGGGCCTTGATACATCAGAACTGGAATGGTTCCACTGCATACGGGGACAGAAAGATGCCAGGAACCTGCACCTTTGGAATGAACGCTGTTGCTCCCACCACCACCCCCTGAACTCCAGCACGCAGTGGGAGATTGGAGTTTGATAAGGGCAGTACTTCTGTGACTTGTGAAGCCACAAGCCATTCCCTCCTAAGGAGTAGGTGTACAGGAGCTTCTGGAGCTCCTGTAAACCTGCAGCTACAATAGCAGTTGAGAGCTTAAGGGCCTGTCTACACTTACATTTTATAGCGCTCTAACTTGCTGGCTCAGGGGTGTAAAAGATCACGCCCCTGAGCACAGCAAGTCTGAGCGCTTTAAAGCACTAGCGTAGACAGGCTCCGAGCGCTGGGAGCCGTGCTCCCATGCTCGGAGCTAATCCCCTCATGGAGGTGGATTACCAGGAGCGCTGGGAGAGCTCTCTCCCAGCGCTCACGCACGACCACACTCGCACTTCAAAGCGCTGCCTCGGAGCGTTCCCTCAATGGTGCTTTGAAGTTACCAGTGTAGCCACGCCCTAAGGCTATGTCTACACTACGGACCTTACAGTGGCACAGCTATACTGCTGCAGCTGCACCACTGTCAGGTCTCCTGTGTAGCCACTCTATGCTGGCGGGACAGAGCTAGTCCCACTGCCATAATTAAACCACCCCCAACGAGCATCTCCTGTCAACATAGCGCTGTCCACACCAGTGTTTTTGTTGGTGAAACTTATGTCGGTTAGGGGTGTTAATATTTTTTCCCCACACCCCTGACCAACAAAAATGTTCATGTAGATGAAGCCTGAGTCAGTCAGCCTTCTTCTCAGCCGCTGCAGAACTCTCAGTGCGTTGCCTGTTAACTCCAATTGTGCAGCAAGCCAAGGGTTGTTCTTAATGTTCAGATTTCTCCAGAACTTCCTCCTCCATATTTAACAATCATATATGTCACATGCACTGTTAGCCTCCTGTGTTTACTGTACACCAATGACATCTAGTGATTATTAAGATATTGGAAAACAACTTATCTTTATCTTCTAAATGCAGCAATATTTTCATCAGCCGTAACACTGATTTGCAAACAATTGCTTAGGGCTCGTGATGGGCGAGGTTTCAAAAGGTTTGGAAGGTTGGTGTGAATATGCAACCAGAAGTTTCAGTCCTTTTCCCGATCTCTAAAATGGGACTAATGATATAGACCTCCCTTGTTAAAGTGCTTTGAGATCTGCTGATGAAAAACCCTACATAGGATTGAGGTATTGGTTAGCAGCAGCAGCAGAGTCTAGTCATCTTTGGTTTGCCAAAAGAGCAGCCTCTTTCATGGTATTTTTCATTCTACTGCATTTGCTGGAACATGGAAGTGAAGAGAGATTAAAAGATTGAAAAATACAATTAACATTCAATATTTATTTTGTTCACTGTTTATGCCCCAGGGCAGTAGCACTTGAAATAGAATTCAGCAGAAGTCTGTATCTGCTTAATTAGTTTCTCTCTCCATATTCTTATGAGAGAGAGAAGCTCCAACGCCTACAGTCTCCTGCAATTGCTTATTAAACTACAGTCAGATTTAAGCCATTTGGAAATGTAACATAAGCAGCACAGGCATGGGTGGCGGGTGGAGCCCCTTTGGGGAGGCTAACCCCTGGCTCTGCCCCTTCCACCTGTGCCTTCCCCACGGCCAGAGCCCCGAGACACCCCACCCCCCGCACACACACACACGGAGAAGCCCAGAGCACCCCCCCCCTCGGCTGGAGGAGCTCCGAGCCCACCCTGCCTGTCCCGAGACTTCCCCCTCCCTTTCCCCCACCCCCACCTGTCCCCTCCCCGGACCCAACCCGCCCAGGGGAAAAGCATCTGTTAGAAGATGCTTTTGATATGCCCCATGCAGGTTCCAGAGTGGCTGAGAAGGCGGTATGTGCCTCCTCAGCCATCCCGGAACCTGCATGGGGCATAATAAAGCAAAAACTTCACCGCCAAACCCAGCAATCAGGGGTTGAACAGCTGCGGCAGCACCGGACGAGGCAGAGCCTCCCCTGGCCTATTTTACCCACTGCCCATGAGCACAGGCATTGGCTATGATCATATGCTAAAACATATGGGAAATCTCAGAGTGGGAGAAGCTTGTAATTCAAGACTGTTGTAAATAGGGTGACCAGATAGCAAGTGTGAAAAATCAGGACACGGTTTTTGGGAGGATAGTGATGGGAGGTATAGTTGCATATATAAGAGAGAGCCCCCAATATTGGGACGGTCCTATCTGATCACCCTAGCTGTAAACCACACTGTACACATTTTCAGCCATCCTAGGAATGTTCTTGGAGTCTGTTAACCTGTGGCCTTTTCCTGGGAGCCCCCTTGTGGCCTCACGGTAGCCCTGCAAGTGGTCTCTTGCCTTAGTTTCCCTCTTGATTCTTCAAATAAACTCAGGACAGCTTTAGGAGTATATAAAGAGCCTTTTTTTTTTTTTGGTGGAATTCATTTAGTGCCAAAAGTCCCACTACCCTAAACCAGAATCCCCCCAGAACAAGCCTAACAATTCAACACCAAGTATGGCTCTGGTGTCTCTCACCGCGCCCCAGCTCCCAGGCACCATACGTCGCTCCAGCCCCTCTAGCTGGGGTGTTTCTCCACCTTGTTTCCTTCCAAGCTAGGATTCCAGCTCTTTCTTGGAGACAATAGCAAACTCCCCACTCCATCATTTCCCAGCCTTTGGCCCTCTCTGGCACTCCAGCTTCAACTCTCCAGCTCAGAGAGCCAGCAGACATCTTCAGCCCTCTCTGGCCTGGGGAAGTGAAGTTTGTAGGTGACCCCTCAACTGCCTTCTGCATTCCCCAGCCTGATCTGGCTCCAGTGGTTAACCAAAGAACTCTCACTGCTCCCTCCTTCAGGGCATCTCCTCCCTGAAGCTCTCAAACCTGCTCTGTTCTTCCTCTGAGCTTTACTCTCAGGAGTCTTTACTCTCTTTACTCTCTCTTTCTCTAAACTCTGGGTTCTGAGCTAAGCTAAGCTCTCTCTGAGCTTACCCCTAAGCTCTCTCTGAGTTCTGGCCTCCCATCTCAGGATTCTGGACTCATTTATATCTCCCAGAGGCAGCCCCATCCTCCTCATTACACCAAATTAGTGTGCACCTGGACTGGAACAGGAGAGCTGAGCCCAATTTCATTTAATGGGCCAGCTACCCTGTTCAGAGTCATTTCACTAAATAAGTTAGAAGGGCATAGCTACCAAAAAAAGATGGAAAATAAAGACAGAGTCTGAATTGTGCATGAGATGCACAGAGAGGGGCATTCCATAACTG